GGTAAAGCACCTAGCCCAATAGCCAGCATGTAATAGGTCACAATAAATAACGCCCATAATCACTGTAGTGAACATAGTAATATTTGAACAACCCTGTGGACACCCACACAGTCCTGGCCCAGGCCAGACATGCAGGGGGAGAGTGGGCCCAAACCATCCTCCTTGAGAGGACGACACCTTCCTCCACATTCCCTAGCTGCCTCACCTCCTTTCTAACTGTAGAAATAGACTGGAAGTGACCTGTAGAAGAAAAATCTCTAAAAGATTAGCATTCAGGAACTAATTAATTTTGTATTTCCACCCAGAATTAACTTTTATCTTCAGCAAAAGTCTTCTGCTGAGAGCAGAGGATTAGTCTTACTCACAGCATGTACACTGGCAAATTCAGCTTTCCTACCGGAAATGCAAGCCTTGTGACAAAGTTCTTGTGAAATCCAGACAAGGGTTCTGGCTCATGACTGCTGTTGGCTCATAACCAAGGGAAGACCATCAGCTCAACAATCGTCAGACCTGACACATAAACAGGAGAGCGATCTGCAAGTTTGCTCAAGGTTCCTATTTACCCTGGCCTGCACCTAGATTCCAGGAAAACAAAAACAAAAGCAAAGGAACTTGGTACCTGAGGTCCCAAAGTAGCAAATGTCTAATTGTCTCATTGGCAAATAAATTCTTACTGGGAGGATTCTTACTCAAAACTCATATATGGATACTAATGAAAATCAGTTGTGATGTTTTAGAACAGAGCCTCTTCACCTATGGGATCTACAGATCCATTCTGAGAATCTGAAATTTTATCCCAACTTCTCTGGGTATTGTATATATTTCCCTGGAAGAAAGCCTCAAAGCTTTCACTTCTTACTTGAATGACATCTGTACCCCCAACACCATAGAGAATTATTGATGTGCAAGTAAAGTTGACATGGAAAAAAACTGTCCACAATCCACTATTAGATAAAAACAACAACAAAAACTTATCAAGTATTTTTATGTGGCATTCTACTGTCGTCCAAACAATACACATATTTGTAGAAAAATTTTTGAAATCTACACAAAAAATATTAAATCTGGCTACCTCTGTTTTTCAGGATTATGAATGATTTTTTTTATTTTGTTCTTTTTTTAAAAGATTTTATTTATTTGAAGACAGAGATCACAAGTAGGCAGAGAGGCAGGCAGAAAGAGAGAGGAAGGGAAGCAGGCTCCCAATGAGCAGAGAGCCCGATGTGGGGCTTGATCTCAGGACCCTGGGATCATGACCTGAGCTGAAGGCAGAGGCTTTAACCCACTGAGCCACCCAGGCGCCCCATTATTTTGTTCTTTATGCTTTCATATGTTTGCTTTTTTTTTTCTGCAATGAACATGTGTTAATTTTAGAATCTGCAAAAGCCTGGTAAATGTTATTTTCAAACTGATTTTAAAAAGCCTTTATATCTTAGGGGTGCCTAGGTGGCTCAGTGGGTTAAAGCCTCGCCTTTGGCGCAGGTCATGATCTCTGGGTCCTGGGATCAGGCCCTGCATTGAGCCCTGCATCGGGCTCTCTGCTCAGCAGGGAGCCTGCTTCCTCCTCTCTCTCTCTGCCTGCCTCTCTGCCTACTTGTGATCTCTCTGTCAAATAAATAAATAAAATCTTTAGGGGAAAAAAAAGTCTTTATATCTTAGTCCATACCTTCCTCCCAGTACTTTGATTTCCCAAGTGATTCATGATTCTCCATCTACATGTGTGACCTGGGTAACAAGAATCTACACTCCAGTCTAGGAATGCCAACCATGGTCAGATGGCCATTTCTGAGTTGTAAAATCTGGAGGCACAAATGTTAGGCAAGTTCAGATTTGAAGACAGGCCATTACTTTTGTAAGAAAAGAGCACTGGCAGCTTTGAAAAGAAGAGGAAGGAAACAGAAGAAAAGCTGTGTAATGGAGAGAGAGTTCAAACTTTCAGGATGTTTCAAACTCTTCAGCTCTGCAGCCAAAACCGGAAAATAAGGTTTATTATCAAATGCCCTATGAGTGTTTTTATTTTGCTAATTGTAGTATAGTCAACATACATTAGTTTCATACAACACAACATAAAACAACTGTCACTCATGTGTTCACACAACATATGAACAACATAGTTTGCATAGATGACAAACCATAATTCCCCATGGTTTGGGGGTTGCAGATCTCACTTCCATACATTAGGAAATGTTCACTACGTAAGTTTAATTACCGTGTATCACTCTACAAAATTGTTGCAGTGTTATTGACTATATTCCCTATGCTAAATTACTATTTTGTGTTTGTGGCAGAATTGAGGAGCTCATCCAAAGGCTAGAAAGCAGATACACTACTCAAGGAGAAGCTAGTAAACTGTCCAGAGCTTGGCTTACTATTAGAAGTCCTGTCCATGTGCAGGATTTGGAAAGTGGAAGCCTTAGGGCATTTGGGATGCAGAAAGCATCCGTGCTAAGGTTGCAGATTAAGCAATAAAATTCAGGATGTCTCATTAAATGTAAATTTCATCTATACAACAAAATTTGTCCTGGTATAAATATGTCCCAAGCCCTACCCATACTAACAATTATTTAATTGTGTCATTGAAATTCAAATTTAACAGAGCACCCTGTATTTTATCTGGCCATCCTATTCCACAAAGAACAAGGAAGGACCAAGATATGGGCATATTTTCTCACCCTAAACAGACAATGTACATACAGCAGGGAGAGAGCATAGAGATGCAGGGAGTCTGGGGTCTAAGGAAGGGGTCTTTAAGGAGCCAGAAAAGGCTCCTGGAAGAACAGGGAAGCAAGGAGCTATATAAAGCTTCTCTTGCTCCCATATAAGAAATTCAGATCTTTCTAATGTTGTTCCTCTGGTGGTTAAACCAATATTACCCCAAAAGCAGAAGGTAGAGAAGCCCAGGAAAGTCCCAGCATGCGTAGTATGCAGACAGACGGCAAAAGGAACGTGCTCATGGCAAAGGGTAAACCTCAGAAGTGCTGCACTTGGGGTTGAAGTAAGTGTTGGTTGATTATGCTTAGCTTTCCCTGCAGCCAAGATTTCAACACTTCATCTGAATAACTTGCACCTTGCAAAATTGTTTTCCAGAAAAAGCCCCTCTGAAAAATACAATCATACGATTTAAAAAAAAAAAAAAAAAAAAGAATGGTGGAAAAAAGACACGTGTTGATGCCTAGGTCTATATGACACCAAATGAAGGAAAAATGGAAAAATACCATCCCTCCAGATGTTTCATCCAGGTAGTAATAGGGAACATGTTTGCCTTCCTTACACGGACATTTGGTGTGTAAATGCAGACCATTATGATGATATTGAAAAGCATTGATTAGAAAATCAGAAAATTGTCCTTTTTGCATCCTTCACAGATGGCCCTGGAAATATTTTCTGTCAATGTATTTTTAACCTATCTTACAAACAGAATTATTTACGTAGTAACTAGCCCTGCAAACTGCTACAGCAAATGAAAACATTGAAATGACTTCTCAGCCTTCTGTTTTGCATGGAGTACACCCCCCAACTTTGTTCTCTGAGCATCTGATTGAGGAAGTCCTTAGCTTCCCAGGGGCAAAGGGTTCAAATCCCACTGAAACCAGCCTGTCTTCTCTCCCCATACTATCCTCATGAATGCAGCCTACCAGACAGCTGGAGTCTGAGAGAAAGTAACACCTACAGTTTGATGGGGGGAAGCTGAACCCCCATACATCACTTGAAATAAAGGGTTGATTATAGGCACCAGACCAGACATAAGTGGGGAATCTGGTGAAGAAGTCTGTTGGAGGCTTCTGCATCTGAAAGGGGCCCTGAAGTCACTACGGGTCAGCAGAGAAAGCAATAGGAAAATGAACTGAACATGAACCAGGGAGACGAAGGACAACCTCGAGCCCATGTCTCACTCCTATTACTTCCAACCTCAACATTATAGATAACCTACAGAAGAAGCTAGTGCCCTGTGTCACAAAGCTGCATGAGGTTCCTAGCCCAGAATACCCAGAACCTACAAGAAGACCTCTGCTGGGACCTGGAGAAGCTCTGGAACCAGATGTTGTCCCACACCCATAAGATGAAACTGCAGATCAGTTATGGCACAGGTGAGCTGCAGAGGTGCCTGGCACATTCACCCCCAAATCATAATGGCAGCCACTTCCCTTTCACCTTCCCAATCTCCTGCAAACTTCTCTTGTGCCAATCCCTGCCTAGAACCACATGGGGAAGGGGATTCTGGGGCACACAACCCGCCCACACAGCCTAAAACCTTCACACGGCACAAAGCCTGATTCCCTGTTCTGCCAGTATCTAGCTGGGCAAATTTAACAGACTGTTTAATCTCACTAAACTTCTGCTTCTTCATCTGTATGGATAAAAATTAAGTCATTCTCAAAGCAAATGTACCAAGTGCTCGGCACATACAAATGAACCCAGGTTCCTGCTTTCATCCTGTTTATAGTATTTGGGTAACAATATCTTCACTGAAATGTTGTTTGTATCTAATAAGATAGTGAAAAGGACATTAGCACATAGAAAGGACTCAATCTATGTTACTGACCCCAGTTCATTGTTAGAGCAAGCTGACCTTTACAACATCTGATGAGTTGGCCCTCCTTTGGACTTCCCCACACATGGACCTGGAGAACCACCATCAGGAACAACCCACCCATGAGTGGATTCCTAATGCTATTTATGGTCATTCCCAGCTTTTTAAAGGATGCCCCAATCTGTTTCCTTACCATGAACACCCTAGAAACCTCAGCTCCCCTTTCTTTAGAGTCACACGCAGAGAAGAATCTATTAAGGAAAAGAGGGTGAAATCTGCCAGGCAGGAAAGCTCAGGTAGGGAAGGAAGATGCTCAGACGGCCGTGGTGCTATTGTTTGACACTGCCATAGTTACTGTCAGACGGGATGGTGAGCACAGAAAGAAAATGGTCTCCAGTCAGGTCTGGGAGGGTCAGAACAGAACTTCAAAGAGAACATAGCAAACACCCCCCACACCCCTACCGCTTACCTAACTTGAAGTCTTGTTAGGCCATAGTTTCCAACTGGGCAACAACCACATCTGCCTCCTTTCTGTTTTCTCTACTATCTTCCTGGCAAGCTGGTGGTTGGGTGCTGTAGGTGGCTTCTGTGCTGTGGTTTTCAACATTTTGTAGCCCAAAGCCTAGCTCTCCCTTCTGCATGGAACAGCTGAGATTTATAATCTGAAGTCAAGTGGTTCCCCAGCTAGGAATTATTGGGAACACAGAGGGTCTTTCTGTGTAACAAGTATGATTCTATCCTGGTGCACGGATATGCCCCAACATGAGCATCCATACACAGTTCAAGACTAAGGGCTTAGTAAGAAACACCATGTTTACCTGCTAAAACAAAACCCTTCTGGTATTAGTTAACTGACTACAAAAGGAGAGATCTTATCTTACTTTTTACAGTCTCTGACCTTGTCATTTGAATAGTCACATACACAAATATATATTATCTCTCCTCCCGTATTCTCTCCTACCCCTCCCCCTCTTCATATATTGTCATGTTGAACCTCTGCCTGGACTACTAGTTCTTCTTCTATAGTCATATTTATGAATTCAGATTGTTATGAAACATAACTACACTCTGGAAATGATACAGTATTTGGATGTCGAAAAGAAGTCATCATTCTTCGAAATAGATGGCTGGTAGCTTTCTCAAGAAATCATTTTATGAACTCAAGTTTAAAAAAATGAATATATGTTCCTCTTTTTGCTTCCTCTTTTGAGCAATTTTATGATTGAAAAAAAGACATTTTACCACAATGGAAAATACCTCATTTTTCCATTAAAATGTACTCTTTTTTTCTTAACAGTTTTCAATCCACTTCCTTGTCCATTGGGTTAAAAGGAGCTGTTTCTAGGAGACAAAGTCAAGGTCTCAGCAAGGAAGGTGGGAAAGGAGGTGCTGGGCTAGTATGTCTGTTAACCACCCAACACTAGGACAACCATGGCTGTGTCAACAATCGCACCAAAGGAGCCAGGTGGAAAGTTGAGAACAAATCACACTATTGATTGGCAGTTCCATCTCCTTTGTGCCAGACTGATTTCCCCCACTGTTGGAGGCATTGGCTCTATCAGCCTTTTTAATAGGTGGTGGGCCCAGACTAGAAATGTTCATAGGGCATATACCACTTCATATCATTAAAAGGAAAGAGTCCACATGGCCCAACATCTAGCTGAAATTTGGTTGAAAAAATAAAACTGAGATTACTGGTGAAGTGAACAGCAGTGTTCAATTGGTTGAATTTTAAGCTTTTTTTATAAGCCCAGAGAAGGCTTCCATCTCTTCTGGTTAAATCTCAATTTCTCCCCTCAATGTAGTCTTCCAGAGACAAATAAGAAACAATCAAATATACTCATGCTTAATATGCTCTAAATAAAGGGTTTGATCAAATGCTTTGCTCTTCAACTTGATATTTTTCGTTAGTTAGGAAGTCACTATGTCATCAAAGAGAAAATAAGGAAGCTACAGAGAGTTCAGAATTTGGCTCCCCACACTAATTTTACCCTCACAAGTTGAGATTTCCTTATTGACAATAAAATTCTTCCTTTTTTTATTCATCTTCCCAGAAGGCTCAAATGTCTTCCCAAAGACTGAGATATGTCAGTAGACAACTTCAAACCCACAATTATCTCAGGGTTTAGGCATGCCCTCCACATGGGTGTGTTATTCATAGCTTAAAGACAGATATTTCTGTCCTTAATAGTTTAGCTTTCAGAAGTATATGATGCTTATACTAAGGAATAACATGGAGGACATGGGGAGATGGAGAGGAGAAGTGAGTTGGGGGAAATTGGAGGGGGAGATGAACCATGAAAGACTACAGATTCTGAGAAACAAACTGAGGGTTTTGGAGGGGAGAGAGGTGGGGGGGTGGGTATTATGGAGGGCACATATGGCATGGAGGACTGGGTGTGGTGCATAAACAATGAATTCTGGAACACTGAAAAGAAATTTTAAAAAAGTATATGATGGATAAAATACATCAGTCTCTTGACAATCTGTTCTATATGGACAAAAAGGAGAGATGCTCATAAGGTCCAAGTAATTTAAATTGATAGATGTCAGAAAATATCATCATTACCTCTCAATTCTCTCTCTCTCTCTCTCTCTCTCACACACACACACACACACCTATGTATAGACATATAGGTGGTGTTTCTCACAAGAAATCAATTAATTTAATCCATTGATTCCTCCTGGGGAATGTGCTACTAAGCAGTAACATCTACCTAAGATGAGAAACACTGAAGATGAAGAGGAAAAACAAATAGTTGGAATAATCTTCATGCTAGACTATACCTGAAACCCTAAGTAACCTGGACTTGGCTGATATTCATTCTTTTTTATTGTTTTTTTTCCTCAAATAAACTGCATGAGATTGTGGTGCTAAAATAGAAATACAGTAGAATCATGTTATTGCAAAAATTTGGCAAAGCTACCAGTGAAATCATGTCCCTTGAAACATAACAACCACACATAGTAAAAGCACAATTCCTCTCAACGCGTCCATAAACAGGGTGTTAGCCCTGTTCCTCAGAGTCAACACTATAAAAGGGTTCCCGCATATTTAGTGAACCCACGTTCAACTCAGTAATTCTTATCTTGCCATTAGTGTAGCGTGTTAAAATCCATGTCCCAGTAAATTGCTGTGTGGTATGTGAAATGTATTAAAAGTACATGAGGTAAAGTTGTGCTCATTAAACCTCACTTGAATGTCTGATTATTAGAGTATCATTTCCCCATCCCTATTATTATGATTATTGCATTCTTCCATGGTGTTTGCCCTGGACTGTGGAGGGGTCAGATGGGCAAAGGAGAGCAGGACTTTTTTGAGATCCATCAAAAGAGAGACAGAAAAAAATAGCGTTGAGTGTTTTTTGTTGTTGTTTTTTTTAAGCCCCCACACATTGTACCTAGTGGGGCCAAGCCTTGTCAATGCCACCCGGTTGCTGGCATTGTGCCTCCTTCACAACAACCCTCACAATCTAATTACCAGGCTTCAGCAGCCATTGTGGGAGGCTCCCGTGTGGAACGTTAGGTTAACAGGCAAGGACGCTGCTGAACCAGGCTTCCCTGAGGCTCAGGGCGACTGGAGTTTCCCCATGGAGAGGGTGTTCCCTGCTTGCCTCCAGTTATATGGTTCCACGGCCCCACTGTGTTTGCTGGCACAGCACAGATCCCTTCCACGGAGCACCATGTCTTTTCACCTCCGTCAGGAGCAAAGGAATGTATCTGAGAACATGTGAGAGCCCGCAGATTTTCCAAGACTGTGTTTAAAGCGAAGCAGAAGTGGGATGGCTTACGTTTTCCGTTTCAGCGATGTGACTTCTCTGAGGTGATGGTGGGGCTGCTCCAGGGGGAAAGGGGAGTGAAGCGCAGGGCCGGACCCCTCCTCGCCCTGGGTGTTCGCCCATCTGGAGAAGTGGAAAACAGCAACATCCCCCTTCTTCCCTGGGAGGTGCCCGGATGAGCTGACATCAAGGAGCTCTTAGAGTTACAAGTGGAAGGGCAGCACGGTTAGGATGAGGAAAGGACAGAGAGAGAGGAAGTCATTGCCACTTCATATTCCTATGGTTTAGAGAAGATTTAATTAGCTGCTCCCAAGACTGGACATGGGACAGACACTAGGCCCTTTGGGTGGCTGATGGAATCCAAATGGGGAGGAGACCCTTCAGGAGGAAAGCTGTGTCTTTCATAGACCCTATATGAGGACAGGACAGGCAAAAAATTCAGGGCAAAAATAATACTGATTTTTCTAGAGTCAGTGCTATGAAGAGACAAGAGAAGGAGGAGGAAGAGGAGTAGGTAGAGGAGGAGGAGGAGGAGCTGCTGCTAAGGTTATTTGAACATTTTGTATTTTAAGAGCCGAGGATGATGCCACTGGCCACAGTCTGGCATTCAGAGCGTCTCAGGAGAAAAGGGGATGCTGCCCGAAGGTGAGTGTATGCAGTCCAGAAATCACGAGACCTGCAGGACATTTGGAGGCAACAATATATAAAACCCACAAGGCACATGCTGACGTCTTTCCTAGAATTCGACTAGAAAACCTCATTTCCCTTCTTGAAAATAGCCTTTTCGAGTTTTATTTCTCCAAAATAAAATCTTCCTTCCCTCCAGATCTGTTTCTCTCCTCAGAGCAGTACAACTTTTCCTAGCATTGAAGAATACCAAAACAACTTCCCCAGGAAAAATAGATTTATATAAAAGTTCTTTCAAATTCAGCATGGAAAATCCCACATCATTCATTCATTCATTCATTTAGCAGTTAACTTCTATATGCCAACCAATGTGCTCAGTGCAGGACTAAAGTGCCACCAATGGCCTCCTCTGTTAATATTTGGGAGCTTTGTATTAAATCAGGTCTATGTATTTTCTATATAGAGAGAGTCCTCTTATGTTTGTGTCATATATAGATATATATAACTGTGTGTGTATATATTGACAACTGTAACAAAATGCAATATATGTTATATATGTATATTATTTATACTATATATGTATATTTTATATATATGTGTATGTATATATATATATACATATATATATATACATACACATATATATTTCAGAATTTTTAATTGTACTTAGCAGGAGGAATAGAGAAAAGTATAACTTTTCCATCTTCCCCAAAACAAAAGTTCTTATTAGGTGTGTTTTTTTTTTTAAGTAATTGGTATTGAGCAAATGATTCATCTGTAGTGACAAAGCCTCTTAACTTCTGAATGCCTTAAGCTATGTCTAAGTGGTAACAAAATACACAACCAATTCTTCTAAAAGTCTAGCTAATCATATTTAATAACATAGGGAAATATTTACCAAATACACTTATGTGAAAAAGCAGACCATAGGATAAAGTGTGGACCATGATTCCAAGCACATAAAAATTATGCATAAACACACATAAAGATAAACAGATATAGATTGATGAATAGATAGGCAGATAGATACACATAATAAGTAAATAGACAGACAGACAGACAGGAAAAACGTACCTAAAATGTTGAATGAGTGATGTGTGATAGAGTTATGGATATTTTTATGTATATCTTTCCATACTTACAAAATCATGTAAAGTATTACAATGCCCACAATACCCAAAGTCATCTATAGATTCAATCTATATGCAATCCCTGTCAAAATTCCAATGGCATTTTTCAAAGACATAGAAAATACCATTCGGAAATTTGTCCGGATCTATAAAAGCAATTCTGAGAAATAACAACTCTGGAAATATCAGACTTCCTGATATCAAATTTCATTACAAAGTTACAGGAATCAAAACAGTATGGCACTGACATAAAAACAGACACATGGACTAATGGAGCAGAATCAAAAGCCCAGAGATAAACTCAAACACATACATTAAAGGATAATTGACAAGGGAGCCAGATATTCTCAGTGGGGAAAGGATAATCTCTTCAATAGATTGTACTAGGAAAACTGGACATTCACATGCAAAAGAATACAATTGGACCTTGATTTTACATCACTTACAAAAATTAACTCAAAATGGGTTAAGGA